AGATCACTCCCTGCCTGATTGTTCAGAGCATCGGTTGACGTCAGCCAAAAGCAGCCTGCATCACGAGCGGTGTGCTCTGCATGGGGTAGGTGGATGGGATCTCCATTGTGCAACACAGACTCAGGCAAGCTTTCTTCCTCATAGCCGCTGATGGTCACAAAAAGCCATCTGCTTTGGTTGCAAGGCTGGACAAGTGATATTGCAATCCCTTGCTGGAGAAGCTCCATTGCACTTTAATGTATGAAGAAGGTCTCAAGAACATGAAATATACGAACAACATGGGAGGAAGCCTCCTAATGAAAGAAATAAAGAGACACTATTATCAACCTCTGTGCTAAATGGAGTTCTGCCATACTAGTGCATGGCTTAGTCGAGCTGAGAGTTGCACCTTCAAAGGTGCCGATTTAGGTGTTGAAAAGTGTACAGGGAATCGGCGAGGCGCAAGAAGGGGAGGAAGCCTCCGGAGGTAGCCTCCACTCATACTGTAAGTCCTGCCGAAATTGTGGTCCACTGTGCTATCGCTATGTTCATTTCCGCATCCTCTGCAAAGAACTCATCACGCACCTGCCCAACCTCTTGTTGATACTGAGCGTCAAGATGCGGCGGAAGCATGCTTGAGGTATACCGGATAATGTGCGTCTCACGATAGAAGCTCTCGAGTTCGGTGAGGATCACGCTGTAGTACCACGTTCCTTGGGTGGTGGGAAGCTCGGTGAACCTCATCAGGCTTAAGTATCGTAGGCTGATGCTCCGCAACTTTTGGCGCCGGGACGCCTTGATTTCACGCCATTCATCATATCCGGGCAATGACTGTACTGCCCAAAGTAGTGTCTTCATCCTCTCTGCTTGGAGCACCTCATGTGCGTAGTTCATGAACTGAGCGAGGATTTTCACCTTGTGAGTGTTGAGATACTCCGCAACCCTTGTGCTGGTTGTCTCGGAGGAGATGTTCTGGTCCTCTGCAACTACCTGCTGGTGCACGAGAGCAACCAGGAGCGGAGTGAGCGCTTGCACCAAGCTAGTGCTCTCCATTGGAAACACAGGTGTTGATGGCTGGACTCGAGGTTAGAATGGCTACTGCCAACGGAAGTGTGAATCGGTTTCTTATGGCGGGCAGGCAGTGACCTTTGCTAACAAGCATGCAAGGGCTTTAGCTGAAGGCTGCACAGCTCAGGAACTAGGAACTGCAGAAGGAAGTGCCTGCCACTGCTTGTGGACTTCGCGACGCCAAGTTCACCTGGGCAATGTGCATGTGGAGGGTGGGGGAAACTCCTCTTAGTGCATGCAAAGAGAGACAACTCGTTCAGGCGGTATCAAAGTCTTTGTTGCCTTAAGCAGAGGGCGTACATGCTGTCTACTTTAAAATGAAGTGGAGGAAGCCTCCGGAGGAAGCCTCCCACTGCGAAAGTAGACCACAGCAGAACGAATTCGGTACAGGTGAAACTGCTGAAGACGCTTTAGAAGGGCAGAGACTTGCCTGTGCGCCGATCTATGACAGTGCTGATGTGGGACAGGTCAATGGGTCCACGCGTCAGCAGTACTCCATTCTTCGCCCGACGCACTTTGTGTCCACTGTCGATCAAAGACGGCAGGTGGATCCAGATCTCCACTGAGGAGTCCTCCCTGAATCCTGCAGTTTGGGTTGGTGACAAAGACATATGTATGTCACGTCTTTGCATTCTGCGCAGCTGAGAGGAGCGAATCTGGTGCCAGGCCCGCCAGCTCGTCCCGTGGACACCCCACTCAGGTGTTGTTGAGGAGGTCAGGACCTCATGCAGTTGATCGTCTTCCAGTGGGATGTCACGACCATGACCCTGTAAGGCTCTGATGTAGTTTTCCCCGTCTTCCTCTGAGATCATCTGCTCCACGCGGACCTTCTGTGAGATTTCCAGTACTCGCTGTACTTCATGAACTGTCACTTCAGCCCGCCAGAATTGCCTGGAATTGAGAAGGCTTTTCAGATTGGCATAGCCAGCAGTGTCTAGCGAAATGCCATACTTCGCTGGGTCATGTCTGAGAGCCTGTGTGAGGAGCTTGCCTATCATCTCTCGTCTGGTTTCGTGAGCGCCCCGTCCAGAGAGTCGATCAAGATTAACATCCAGATCTGCTAAGCTCGGTGATTGCTGAGTTGCTGGCTTCCAGGCGTGCTCTCTTCTGCCTCCCTCTTGATGCTGTGGGACTTCTTGATGAAGTGGATCCTGTAGATCTGTGCCTGCGGGATCAGCAGCTGGTGACCAAATCCCCCAGGATTCATCACTATCATCTTCGGGCTGGTGCAAGGAGGTCGGCAGAGCGCTTTGGTCAGAGGCCATTGCCTTGTTTCCTCTCCAAGGAGGAGCTGCGGCCTGCCAGGTGGAGTTATCATCATCTTGAAAGGCAGCTGATTCCTTGGCATGTTGGGAGGAGGATCTTGGTGGATTTCTGTATGAACTCGGCTCCTCCGGTCTTTCCCTCGCTATGCGTTGAATTGGGGCAGCTTCCGCAAGGGGATTCCAGCCAGTCTGCACATAGGTCCCCAAAGGCAGTGAGTCTGTGATGTGAAGCAACAGCGCCTCGAGCTGGACGTAGTCTTCCCTGAGAATGTACTGATCCGTTGCTTTGGAGCCACGGAGAGATCCTGCAGCCTGGTCGAACGACACTGCTAATTTGGCCGCAACTGCTCGTAGAGACTTGTTGCCTTCCTTCAAGATGGGAAACCATACATGCGTCACATATGACTCCGCCTTGCGCTCATGCCTGCCGGAATGGATGTAGACTCCTGGGTAGCCCTCGAAATATTGTTCTCCTTGAGAGGAATCCTGGGACGGTTGCAACTTTCCTAAATACAGGATCGAGTAGAGCGATTCCAATTTGGTCCCATGATAGCCCACTCTGTCATCCGTGCCGGTGCATCTCTGAACAACATCTCTTAGGGGAAAGCGCACCCAGTCTTCCTGCATGACAGGATCTCCCAACTTTGCAGTCAAATCTGAGTTGCTCGGACCTTTACGCGTTCTCAGAAATGTACGGATAAATATTTTGGCCTCCTCCATGACATCCTTAGTCGGATCCAGTTGTTCACGCTCCTTGTGACGCTTGGTCCATGCATAGCGGCTCTGGACATGAGTGCTGGTGTTCCAGTCTGATGCCTGCCCACTGGCCCTCCGATCAAAATCAGGAACCAGAAAGGAAATGGATTCAGCTTGTTCTGGAGTTCTTTCGGAGGAAACCTCCGCGGAGGAAACCTCCGCTCTCGGCAGGAAAGTGACAGGCTGTGAGGACGGAGCTGCCTTGGCCTTCTTGCCTCCTCTGTTGTGATTCGGCTTACGCCGGGCCTGGCGCTGTGCGTCCCGCCAGCTCAGTGGTTCCTTGCCTTGTTGCTCTCGCCTTCTATTTAAAGCCTCAAACTCATCATTCGTCAAATCACGCTCCATTTTGAGGGCCTGATCCTATTGGCTTGAGAGAAGCTTCGGCATTGCAATAGGCCAATGAGCGAACTTCAACCAAGCAGCTGGTGGGTGGCCCTACAGAGGAGAAAGCTATTCTCAAAACCAACCTGAAAGAGAACCCGGACAGGGGAGTAATCCTAAGAAGGATGGAGTGGTTGCTGCTCAGAGGGTGAGTGATTGCACTTGCTGTAATTCTGACACGCGTAGGCCGCCGACCGTAGCATGGAGGAAGCCTCCGGAGGAAGCCTCCCGAGCTATGCAATGCAAGTGCGCGCATACAGGCCGGGCTATGATGCAGTGATAGCAGAGGCTTTTGACTCCCTGGTGCTGAAGACATCTCACACGAGGACTGATTAATACAGACCATCTAGGAAGCTATGTACTAGTACGGATTCTGAGCTGGCCGCCGTTGTGCTCGTGGCCTCACACTGCTCGACGATGGTCCTGGTAGCATGACTCTGATGCCTTGGTAATGAAGAGTCCAGGTCAAGTAGTCCATCCGTTCAGAGAGAGCTTGGGTGTCGGACAGACGATAGAGACGCTCGATGTGAGCTCCATAGATCTGTGCACTCTGAGCGAGCTGAGCCACCTCTGCGCTCAGTTGCCGGACTTGTCCATGTAGTCTGACCTGATCCCGTTGCAGTTCCTCGATGAGGTGAGCTTGAGCATCTATAAGCTTCTGGGCTTTGCTTAGCGCAGTATCCAGCTCCCAAAGTGCCACTCGATCAGCCTCCGTAAAGATCCAGCCCTCTCTGGCATACATGCGCTCAGCTCGGTATGACATTGGCTCTCTACTAGCCAGCTATGGGATTGATTGCGCGAGCAAGAAAAGCTGCTGTGATTGGAGAGATACAGATGTTGCTGGGAGAGGAAGGCAAGCTGAGAGACAATTCGGCGCTTATTGATTGCAATGCAGAATTTTTATGCCTCTATGTGAAAGGATCTTCTCAAGCTGAAGGTGCTCTAAGAGCTAGCTGCTGCCGGATGCCTGCTTTGCAAGCGACTTAGCTGTTGGACTACGCTGTACGCTCCCTGGCCTTAGTGAGCCTTCAATGGCTGCCCAGACTGCATTGTCCGTGAGTCCGGACAGGGCTTGATGGAACTTACCTTTGAGATGTTGGAGTTGGACCTGGATGTGAACTCGAACTGGGCCACCTGTCATCTTCTCGACGATCGGACGTGATGGCATGAGCCTGGAGATCAACTGTGGGTGCTGCGCAAGCTCCTCCAAGCACGTTTTGAGCAATTGAACAACGTCTTCAGCGGGGACTGCCCGTCGAGCAGTGTCAAGCACCGTCTTATCTTGCTCACTGCTCCACTGCTGGTAGACAAAGGCTGGAGCTTCGGTGTCCTTCGCACGTACCACCCAACCCTCTTTCTCCGCATCCGCTAGCACGTCTTCTTTAGTCTGAATCTGCTCTACTCTTTCTAAGGTCTGCTCCAAGACCAATCTCATGGCTCGAGTTCTGAATGGAGTAGACAACTTCGAAGCGTCTTTGGACTTCTCCGCATAGATGTTCGGTAGAATGGACAGCTCACCGGTGGTCAGGTACATGACCCAGCTCAGTTCCTGCTGAAGTGTGTTCAGCGAGTCCTCATGGTTGATGGACAGCCTGGTTAGGGACTGTAGGACTTTCTCATTTGAAGCGCCCCGGCCAGTGCCCCGACCCCTTCCTTTGGCTTTCTGCTTTGGCAGGTTCTTCGGTTCAGCCTGTCTGATCTTCTTGGTTGGAGAATCATCTTCATCTGGCTCATCCGCACGCTTGGATTTGGAGGGTGCTGACGATTGTGCAAAGGCCTGCCTCATGGCTACCTAGCTGAATCTATACTCTTACATAGAAGGCCAAGTAAGAACCTCGACATATTTGATCCGAGAGGAGCGTGGTGCGTCTTGGCGATTCACTATCATCAGCTAGGTACGCTACGCTCTCTCTCCAAAATCCCGCTCTGTAATGTCCAGAGTTCCAGTCTTCACCGATATGAATGATAAATGCATAAAGGCTAAAGGACACTGCTTCTGTTGAGGTTCCGTTATCTAGAAACATTGGCATCTCAAGAACTGTGTCCAGCGCTTGTGGGCGGGAAGTTTTGATTTGCTGATCAAATCTTTGAATTTGCAAGCAAATGAGTCTTGTACCTGGAAGCAAGGCAAACACACTACCCCTATTCGTCCATTGCGTTACTGATTGCTGAAGAGTCGAGAGTCCATCCGGCGGCTCGGGTAAATACAGAATCAAGCCACCTTTTTCCTCAACACTTATGCGTTCCTCCGGTGCTGAGATATGAACCCGCGCCTCCCATTTGTCTGATGAAAGATCCGGGATCCGCTGAGAGATATGCAACAGAAATTGAGATGCATCCTCCTGCCTGGGTCGCAATCGCCATCCTGCTAGCAGCGGACGAAGATGTCGCAACCTCCGAACATCCGCATGAGAGGATCTGCCATTCAGGGAACCTATTTCCGTTAGGATGGAGTTTAAGGAAGGATCTGGGAACAGTCCATCTGACAAGAGAGAGAGAAGGATATGAACGACCGTGTGTGCATAGCACAGTTGATGCGGATTATGATAAGCTAGACGCCAGGCAGCGTCTTGCATGGAAGCTGTGGGAGGTGCAGTGGTTGAACAACCCGAGACGCGTGCAGTGTATGTCAGCAAAGTAGCTCGGCTGCTGGAGGAAGCCTCCTGGGAGGAAGCCTCCCTGCCTCTCACCTGGCCAATTGGAGGATCCGCACTAAAGAGATCTGGCAGTTCCATAGGATTGGCACAAGCTGCACTCATGGCGTATGTCTGAAGCAGAACCACACATTGCTCTGCATGGCGTACTGGAGCATCTACCACAATGCGACAGTACCTACATTCTTCTTTTTTGCGCAGGAGGCGCTTATGTGTTCGCATGTTGGCAAGAATGGATGCCGAGGATTGTGCCCAGAAAGCAGGATGAGCTTTCTGAATGTGCTGTTTCACTCCTTTGTGGCCAACAATGTATTGCCCACAGAGACTGCAGTTCGTTAATAGATGCTGAGTGACATGTCTCTTTTTTAGTAGAAGATCAGGATCCTTCTTAAGTTGTTCCTGCACGCTAGACTGATAGATCATTGCTATGCTTTCTGAGCTTGTACAGGATTTGGCTCGTTCTTTCAGCTCGTGCAGCTGAGGGCAAATGCCTGACTCCACATGTCTGCGAAGTTGATGCATTGTGCGCAACTGCCTGTTGCATGCCGCACATTGCGGAAGTCCTTTGCAGCTATGCACAGTGACCTGAAATTTTTGGCCTAGCTGATTCGCACGCTGTCCTCCATGCTTCACCAGAGTATGTTGCTGAAGACCCTTAGCGCTGGAGAATTGCCGATCGCACAGAGAGCACGGTACCGCCTGATCTGTCTCAGTCAAGTCTAAATGCATGCTCTGAAGTTCCAGTTGCAGCGCAACAATCCTACCTCTAAGCCCCAGATGCCACTGTATGTTCTGATCCGGGTTGGACTTCTGACAGGCATCTAGTGCGTCTTGATAGTTTTTCATCTGGCTAATCAAAACTGCTTGAGGAGACTGAACCTTGTATTGCTCGAACAGAGTCTTCGTGTCAATATGGCTGTAGTGCTGATGTTGCTTAAAGATGGATCTTAGCATCCTAGAGTATTTACTCTGAAGCTTCTGAAGACCTGATGAGGTGACGCCAGTGGCCACAAGCCCATGCAAGAGTGAGGATTCCACATAGACCCTCCAGATCTCCAACTTCTTTGAAGCCTCCAAGGCCTTAGTGGAGCACAGGATGTGTCGAAGTAGCTCAAACTTGCCTTGAGCTTGGGCGATCCTATAGTCAACAGTCTGGTCTTTGTAGGATCCATAGCTGAGCTGCACCCCTAGATATGTCAGTTTGTGATGAATCGGAATCTTATGTCCTGAGGGAAGGACGATGTGCAACTGCTTCTCTTTGCGCATCGTGTGCTTCTTGCGAAAGATGGACTGCTGAGTGCCCTGAACCATTAGCAAGGCTTTGGACTTCGCTGGATTGACTTCCAGCCCCACGTCCTCAAGAGACTGAAAGAGAGCCTCTATTCTGAGCAGGACTT